CCCTGTGACATACAGGTGCAACTACAGAAGCCAACAGCAGTTGTACTCATGCCTGAGAGCACTGCAAATGTCAATAGTACTTTATGTTAGCAAAAGATATATCCATTTTGAAGAGCTTAGGGTATGTCTACACTGCCACCCTAGTGGCTAATGTAGTCATTCAACCTTGCAACTAAAGCCCGGGATTTAAATATCCCGGGCTTTATTTGCATGTTCCTGGGCACCGCCATTTTTAAATGCCCTGTAGTTCGAACTCCCTGCCCGCAGCTACATGCGTCACGGACTAGATAGTTTGAATTAAAGCTCCTAATTCGAACTACCGTTACTCCTCCTGTAATGAGGAGTAACGGTAGTCCAAATTAAGGGCTTTAGTTCGAATTACCTAGCCCGTGCCACGTGTAGCCACGGGCAGGGAGTCCGAACTACCGGGCATTTAAAAATGGAGGCACCCGGGAACAAGCAAATAAAGCCCAGAATATTTTAATCCCGGGCTTCATTTGCAAGTTTGAATGACTCTTCCTGGAATCAGCCGCTGATCAGTTTCAGCAGCAGCTGACTTGGGGACGCCTGGGTTTCTTAAGTTGAATCTGTATGTAAGTCCGAACTGGCATCCAGATTCAGCCGTGGTTGAAACTGATCAGTTTCAGCAGCGGCTGACGCCAGTTCCGACTTACGTACAGATTCAACTTAAGAACAAACCTACAGTCCCTATCTTGTACGTAACCCGGGGACTGCCTGTAGTCACTTCCTCCACCTCCCTTGCTGCCTCTATCAGAAGGAGCCTGCAATGGGGGAAAAAGAGGGGTACTTCAAAGCAGCAGCACCGCTTGAAACCTAGGGCCAGACTCCGGGCTCCACATGGCGCTGCCAGTTTGAATCGCTGCGTGCATTGCCAGCTAGGGTGTCCCCAGGCTGCATGCAGCATTTCAAAGTGGCAGTGCCTCATGGAGTCTGGGATCAGCTGTGGACTCTCCCACTGACCTCAGACTGCATGTGGCCATCAGGCTCCTCCTGGTGTTTCAAAATGGTAGTGCCACATGGCGCTTGGGATCAGCAGGGGACTCCTCTAATGGCTCCGGGCTCCATGCGGCACTGCCACTTTGAAACGCTGCAGGGAGCCAACTTCAGGCTAGCCAGGGATCAGCTGGGGACTCCCCTGTCGGTCCTAGGTTCCATGCGGTGCTGCTGTTTTGGAAAGCCTCGGGAAGCCCAGCATCGGGCTCCTTGCAGCCTTTCAAAGCGGTAGCTCCATGCGGAGCCTGGGATCAGCTGGACCACAAGGAACTTCCGCCTTTTAAGTGTAGCAACACCCCTCCCTACCTCTGATACAGAGGCAGTGTGTGGTGGGGGAGTACATAACAGTTAGGATTAACAGATGAACCCAGGCTCATTGGTTAAGTATATAAATGGGTACGTGTTCACATCCCTACCTTCTTACGACTGCTGCAGAAAATATGACTACTTTGCAGGGAAGATCTTTCTCAAAGAAGACTGCTGTAGAGGCTTAGAACTTATGTTGGTAAATTTCCCTGTACACAAACTATAATAGTTTTATTGATTTGTGTGGTTTTGTGTGTGTGTGTGGTTTTTGTTTTGTTTTGTTTTGTGTGAAA